TAAAAATTATTTTTACAATTATAATTATAAATTTAAATTATAATATTTTTTTTTATAAAAACTATATAATAAAAAAAAAGATAAAAAAAGAATAAAAAAAGAAAAACAATATAAGTATATATAAAAAAAAAAATTAAAAAAGAAAAAAGCTTTTATTTTTTTTAATTATTATTAAAAAGTTATTTTAATAAATAAAATTTAAGTCTTTTATAATTGTTAATATACTTATTTTTTATTATTTGTAATTAATAAAACTGTTTAATTTTTATTGAAATAGTAATATTCAAAAATATTTAAGAATACTTTTAAAAAAAGATTTTTTGAAACTTTATATTTAAAAACTTTTAATTAGAAAAGATATTGATTTTTTCTTTTAAATTATTTTTTTGGAATTATTGCTTTATTTAATTAATAAATAGTTTCAAGATTTTTTTTTTTAACTATTTTTAAAATAAATATTATTATTTTAATTTGTTATTAGATTAAAATAGACTTGAATTTTATAATTACTCCTTATTTTTAAAAAAAAAATAAAAAAGAAAATAAAACAAAACAAAAACAAAAAAAAAAAATATTCTTTTTTTATTTATAACTTCAATTTTATTTAATACTTCTATATTATTTTTTTAACTAAAAACTATTTAATTCTTTCAAAAATTAATTATATTATTAGTTTGATATTATATGATTAAAAACATTTAAAAAAACATATTTTATTTATTTTTTTGTAATTAATATAATTAATTAATTTATAATTTTGATTATTTATTTTTCAAATAATCTAATATAATCAAAAATTTAAGATCAAATTAAAATAAACAAAAAAGTTTTCAGAAAAATAAAAAAAAAAAAGTTTCTTTGAAAAAAAAAAGAAAAAAGCTAAATAAATATAAATTTATTTTTTTATTGGTTTTTTTTTTGAAAAAAAGTTTTTATTATAGATTTTTCAAGTATGTTTTTTATATTTAGTTGCAAAAATAAATAAAAAAAGTATTGTAAAAAAGAAAAAGAAAAATAAACAATAGTTATTGTTTACTCTATTGATTAAAAAACCAATATTGTTAAAAAAAATATATAAACTTTATTATTATAAATATATAAAATCTTTTAAAAATATTTGTTTTTTAATTAATAAAAAGATTAGCAAAAAATTTTTTTATTGATATGAAAATTAAATCTAATATACGTAGATATACTATATATATTTTTATATTTATTTGTTTATATGTTTTTATATTGTATAAAATCAATATATATAAAATAATATTTTTTTGATCTTAATAAAATTTCATTTCTTATTGGCATTTGAAAAATAAATATAAAAGTTTATTTTTTTGAAATTATCAATAATTTCTTTAAGACTTTTACATTACTAAATAATTTTTCAATCCTTTAAAAATTCAAAAATCTTTAAAAATCTTTGTTTAAAAATTTTTTTGATAATTATGCAACTTGAAAGTACATATCATATAAATAAGAAAACAAATGGTTGAACAAGCTTTTTAAAAGAATAAATATAACTACCTTTATAGATATAAATTGATATTTTCTTGTTTTCACTACTGATAAGCTTTATTGTATTAGTGAAAGTGAATACCAAATCAATCTTTCATACTGAAATAAAGTAAAAAAAAGATAATTAGAATTATCATTGGATTGTTAATAACTCCTCAACCAGTAAAAGGGTCAGATTCAAAAATTTACCGATTTTAAACTTATTCCAAGGTGATATCGATTATGTAATTGCCCAGATATTAGAAGAATTAGTGATACTACATTCTCGCGCTATGTTCTGTGATGACTTTAGGGATATGCGATTCGTGTGACATTAATGACACACTTCCTCCAATAAAAATAAAGTATTTATACGCAGTTAAACATTAATGTCACACTTCACCTCAAATAAAAATGAGTAATACTTATTATCACGTGGGATACTAAAAAATAATGTCGCGTCTGATTGATTTTTTTACAAATATCAGAAACCACAATGGCTTGGAATGCCTATTTCGATAAAAAAACATAACCCGAAAAATACAGCTTTTTGGGTTTTTACAAGTACCGCCAACAGCAAGATGATTTCACGCTCTCCTTTCAAAAGGAGGCCGATAAACTTCAGAAGGATCTGAACTTTTTATTGGAAAGTGATTGGGAAGAGGCTAAGAAGGGTGCTATTCGGCTGAAGCGAAGCTTCGAGGCAAGTTTTTTTTTTATTTTTACTGGAAAAGTAGTATGGGAGACTCTTAGTAGTCCCGAGAAGGGGTAAAACTCACACAACTACGGTGGGCATCTGTTTGTTGCCCATTTTATGATCTGCTTGTTCGTTGTGGTCTGCTATGAGGCAGTATAAGAGACTTCCAGTAGTCCCGAGAAGGGGTGAAACTCACACAACTACGGTGGGCATCTGCTTGTTGCCCGCTTTATGGTCTGCTTGTCCGTTATGGTCTACTTGCATCAACTGAATCAACTAAACATTACACCTCAAAATCACACAAACTTTTACTATTAACGTACTTCCACCATTTTTCGTTAGAAACATCGATTAAACAATCAGGATATCAATAACTTCTGGAATAAAATCGAGTTAGAGTGTAACAAAAATGAACAGAAACGTCTAGAGTCAGAGAGAACTATTCGAACAGTAAGTTTTCCTTGCCGAATAATTTTTTGAGCTTTTTCTAACTGGTATACATATAGCTACAATGCCACGTCAATATAAGAAGTAAGACACAAGATATGATGGAGAACATGGCCGAGGAAACAATAGAAGAAGCCAAGGTTTGCTGATGTCATGATGTTAACATAGAATACAAAAATTGTATTTTGTTTTACTTACATATCTAAAATCTCTTTTTCTTCATCGCTCAAGAATACTTGCAAGCGATTACATTCCGAGTTCTCAGGATATAAACAAAATGAGGAAGGATTCTCAACCCCACCAAATAAAGTTAGTATATAACTTAATTTAATTAGTAAAAACATCTGCTGACCCTTTGACTACCTTTTGAATGCACAGATCAGAACCCCCAATAGAATTTTCTCAAATGAAAGCCCATCCATAATAAGAGATCCTAAAATAATGTTGGAAATTTGTGATGAAAATGTTGCGTCGGATCTGAAAGAGAAAGCCCAACGATCTACCTCACCTTTTCTGTCAAAAAAACGTGCGTGCAACACACAGCAAGAGGATGAAAAAGGTATTACAGATGAGGATTTGGCGAATTCAGTGATCGATGCCTCCAACACTTTCGGCCAAGTTGAATTTCCGTTATATTATAGTAAACTTAAATCTATCTGGAACAATAGAGATGCTACAGACTTTCATGTTATCGATTTAGGGGATAAAGATACATTGTATAATGTTCATAACCTTTTAGATGAGGATGAGTTGAAATCGTTGTTTAAGAGGTTAGCGCTGGATGATGAGGATATGCACATAGATGAAAAGGCACATAAATATATAGAGCTGTTTGATCAGATTATAGAGGAAGAGAACTTGGAAGAGATTTTTGATGACGTAGTTGAGGACGAAATAGCTGGCAATGATCTTGTAGATGAAAATAATGAAGAGGCGAAAAATGTGGAAGGAGACAACGAAAAGTTTAACAAATCAATTGCTAAAATGAAGGAAACAGTGCATCAATTGGATGGCTTACCCGAAAAATATCACTACCTATCCAACACTTTACCTATATCAGCACAATATTACGATCAATCTAAGATGCCTGATATGTTTATTGTTAAGAACGTCTCAAATCATCTAGATACCATCACAAAGATGAATGGTGCTATGAAAAACACCCCTGAACGTACATGGACAGCTCACGTATTAGCATATTTGTTTTTTTCTACCTTTTGTTTTATCGACTCATTACATTATTTTTCATGTGAACGAACTATATCTACAAAAACGGATGTTCAAGAAAATAGGTTTAAAGCTGATGGTGTATTGGAACTTTTTGAGCGACCCACGCAAATTCCATTGTTTTTGCTCGAGGTATCGGAAGGTCCCAATAATCCGGACCCAGATAAAATTAAAGAGGATAGAGAGAAGTTGATGAAGGAGGGTGTCTTTGCCATCAATAAGTTTATGACAGGAACGGGACTGCCAACGTGGGAAGTATGTAGTACATTGAAGGTTTTCTTGGCTCAAGGATTTGGTAAGTTTTCAAAA